CACTACTATATATACTACTACACACACTAATATATATTATTATATATATATATATATATATATATATATATATATATATATATATATATGTATGTATATAGTATAGATTTGTACTATGTATAAAACCACGTTTTTTATCTACGTTTCCATCGATGTGTCTGAGTTCAGTGAACCGAAGATTCAGTCACCTCGTTGGTTGGTTGGTAGTAAGCTTTTGTGTCGTAACTGTGCTTAGAAATACCTATACAGAGATAAGTTGTAACGCCTACGCGGGCTTATCAACCATGGCCACCAGCGCGAATCGTTGTATCCATATATGCAGATGCTGTGGACGTATTGGTGCATCTGTAGACACGGGATGCAGAGTACGTGGCTGGAATCACATGCATGGACGTCTGTAACTAATTATATACTACCCAACGTTACTACTTGCAACTGTGAACTTCCCATATACGCGTGTTCTTATGTCCATATCATATTCCGAGGTATGAGACTATGGGTGCGAATGCATACACCAAATGGCACTTGTATAAGAGTATCTGCGGACATTCCGCTGCTGCTATGATGATTTGAAGTGAGACAGTCCTAAGTCAGCATTCCTTCCCCGTGTCGATCAAACACCAAACCCTAAACCCTAAATAAACCGCAAACCCCTAAACATCTCTGACATTGTATATAGCACTAGCGTGTAGCCAAACAAAGTTCCCTAAACCCTAAACCCCTATCCTCACAGACCGAACGACGACATCACCGATCACGAAGGATGGGTCATGAGTGCTCTCAAACCCTTTTACAGAGAGAGAGAGGAAGGAATAAGGGAAGCCAACGGGGAGGCTATGACACCCAAACGCAGCCGAAAGGACAAGAGAGACAGACACGACGACCACAGAGACAACTACAGGCGACGGTCCAGAAGCAGGAGTATGTAGACCCACACCTGTGCACCTGGGCTAGGGGTTTAGGGGCTAGGGTTACTAAAACCCTAAGTCTGAATACCTTCAAAGTCTACGGTCATGCTTAGGGTATATGCGTCCATTTGTAGATAGGCGAGCGTATATGCTCACTCCCTGTGCTTTGGCTCGCGTCGGTGACCACACCATTCTTTACTGTATAGGTCCTATGGCCAACTGAAGTGATGGTAAAGCATTAGAGGATGCTATAGCCCTGGAATGTGGTTAAGAGTGTTATCTATCCCTAACCCTAGCCCCAACCCCAACCCTAACCTTGATCGTATCTATAACCCTAGCCCTAAAATCCTAAAACCCTTTTGGCCGGCAGCTAGTGGTTATTAAACTGTGGTTGTTAAGCTGTGGTTATTAAGCTGTGGTTATTAAGCTGTGGTTGTTAAGCTGTGGTTGTTAAGCTGTGGTTATTAAGCTGTGGTTGTTAAGCTGTGGTTATTAAGCTGTGGTTATAAGCTGTGGTTATTAAGCTGTGGTTATTAAGCTGTGGCTATTAAGCTGTGGCTATTAAGCTGTGGTTGTT